CCCCTCCCTACTTCTCCGGGATCAAACACTGAGCTAAATCCTCAGCCCCACCTTCTTTCTTATGCTCTACCTGCCTGAGGTCAAACCATTTAGCATCATTCAATGGGACCCAGGATTTATAGAATTCACAGGAGCATAGTAAACATATGCTCAGTGCCTTTTGCAGCTTAAGGGCTAGGGTTGGACCTGTGTCTGAGTTTGAAATAGTGTTCCTATAGTTCTCCCACCTTACAGACAGTACTTCCCACAGCTACTAAAGCCACCCCATCCAGGGATGCTACATGTTCCTATGCTGGACATCTTAGTGGGCTGCTATAATAATATAACCACCTGAGAAATCTCATGAATAACAAATTAGCACTCCAAACAATTTTTTAAAATATCCTAGAAAACGACAATAAAGGTCACAACTCCATGAGGCCCAAATCCAATAGTCAAGAATGCAAAGGGTGAGGAAGAAAAATAAAAAAGAACCAACAACAGGAAAATAACATGACAATGATAAGTTAATACATATCAGTTATAACCATCAATGTCAATTCACCAATCAAAAGAAATAGACTGGCAGAATGGATAAAGAAGCAAAATCCAACAATATGCTGTAACAAATCCTCAGTAGCATAGGAACTAGCACAAAGAGTCAACAACTGGGATCTCATCTTTTTAAAAAGTTTCTGTATTGCCAGAGAAATCACAAGCAGAGCTAAAAACCAACCCACAAAGTGGGAAAAAATTTTTACCAGCTGTTCCTCAAAGGTCTACTATCTAGAATATATAAAGAACTTTAAAAAATCAGACCCCCAAAATATAAAGACCCAATTCAAAAATGGGCGTCTGAAATGAACAGACACTTCATAGCAAAAAAAAAAGGAAAAGCAGCAAATAAACACATGAAAAAAATTCAATATCACAGTCATTTGAGAGATGCAGATTAAAACAGCACTGAGATTCCATCTCACCTCAGCAAGAACAGCTACTATCAAGAAATCAACCAACACCTGTAATCCCAGCACTTGGGAGGCTGAGGCAGGAGGATCACTGTGAGTTTGAGACCAGCCTGAGCTACATAGTGAGTTCTAGGTCAGTCTCAACTACATAGTGAGACCCTGTCTCAAAAAACCAAACCAAACCAATAACCAATGCTTGCAAGGTTGTGGGGAAATAGGAACCCTCTTCACTGTTGGTGGGAGTGCAGACTGGTGCAACCACTGTGAAAATCAATATAGAGATACTTCAAACAACAAGGATTAGAAGTCCCATCTGACCCAGGTATTTCTCTGTTTGGTATCTTCCCAAAAGAATCATACCACAGCAATATATCTTCACCCATGTTTATAGTGACACAGTTTGTAATAGTTTAAATTGGAGAAAGCCCAATTGCCCATTAACTGGAGACTGGATAAAGAAAATGTGGGTGATTTTGGTGGGTTTTTTTTTTTAAATATAAAATGGAGTACTATTCAGCCATAAAGAATGAGGCCAGAACCACTGAGCTAAATCCCCGGCCCTCAGCCATAAAGAATGAGAAACTAGAGATATTTATAGCTAAGTGGATGCACACTGAGGCCATATTCTTAAGTGAAATTAATAAGACACATGTAAATACTGAGTAGTTTCTTTGGTGTGAAAAACTAAACATGTAAATAAGGATCAAAATGTATAATGATAGGAGGAAAAGGTCTAAAAAAGTAGAGGAAGTAGGAGGGGTAGGGGAAAGGTAAAAAGAAAAAGGAAAAAATATGTGAAAAGGGAAAGCAGGGAAACAAAGCCTTTGTAAACAGGGAAGGGTGGAGGGGGTGAAGGGAGGTCTGGAGAATGGGGAAAAGTAAGAAACAAGATAAGTAAAGGTACAAGATCCCAATGATGAATGTAACGGTATTGTATACCTAAATTGTACCAATAAACTTAATAAAGATAAAAATAATAATATACCATACACTGGATAGTTGTGATTGCTAAGCTTACTCTCAATTTGATTGGCCTGAGATATGCCTAAGAAATCAGAGAAGCACATTTCTGCATGTATATTGGTGGGTCAAAGTCTTAGAGACTCAATACATTTCCTGGCTCCTTCCTCTCTGGCTCCTGGCCTGTCTTTCTGCTTCCAGCAACTATGAGGTGAGCAGATTTGCTCTGCCAAGCCTCTCCACCACAATGTTTCTGCCTTGGAGCCAGCCCACCATGGACTGAAGCCTTCAAAACCGTTAGCCAAAATGAATCCCTCATCCTTTAAATTGTAAATGTCAGGTATTGCATCCCAGTGACAGAAATTAGACTAATGCAAAAAAAAAAAACAAACAAACAAAACAATAGTACCAGATTTGGAGTTACTGCTGTCACTATACCTGACCATTTGGTTCACAGCTTTCAGAATTCATTTGCATAAGGATCTTGGATAACTCTGGAGAATGTGGCTAGAGAAATCCTAAGATTGTAATATGACCTTGATGGGCAATCCTGGTATGACTCAGAAATCCAAAATGCCAATACAAATGAGGACATTAAAACTGTGCTCAGGAGGTTTCAGGTTAGAAAGAGAAATCTATTGGCAATTGGGCTATAGGCCATGCATGTTACATTCTGGTAAAGATTTTTATTGTACCGAGGCTCAAACTCGGGTCCTTGTACTTGCAAGGCAGGCAGTGGAACCACTAAGCTAAATCCCCAGCTCAAGTTTGTCCATGCCCAAAAATCTTGTGTGAGGCTGTCCCTTAAAGGCAACAGGCTAATTGATTGGACACAGGAAATTTCAAGGTAGAACAGCTTTCAGTTTCTTCAAGAGGTACAGATGGTTGCTTTTAGCCTAATTTGCAGAGAGAATCAGAAGCAAAAAGTAGAGAAGAAATATTTGAAAGACATTCAGTTTAACCAAAAAGGAAATGCATAGGAAGCTAGGGACAGATAGGTGTGACTGCTAAGGACATTAGTGCCACTGACGAAAAACAAAGTACTTTAGATGGGACAAGAAGAAAGACGACTTGAGGGCATCTCAGGATTCAGCACAAACCCTCTCATCACAGGCTCAAAGGTAAACTCTATTGAAAGACTTCAGAATAAGAAGAAAACTACTGGGTGGCCTTCTCCCATACAGGGCTCCTAGGAAATTATCTCCCCAGGATTTATGCCACAATGGTCAGCATTCCAGACACTCAGAGACCACATCCGTGGTCCAAGGGTCCTGTGTTCAGACTAGGGGCAGATCTTGACACTATCCATGTGATGCTGGCTTTCCAGACACAAAATATAAAAGAGTTATAGAACATAAAAAAACTCATGGGGTCATGGGGGCTTCCAACCAGGTTTCAAAGGAAGGCCTGGGGGTGGGAGGCAAGCAGTATGTGACACTGAGTTCTTGCCAGGAGCCCACAATATAATGACGCATGAAGCTTTGAGAATGAAGAAGTTGGAGACCCCAGATAGTCACAGAAGTCAGAACGTATGGTATCTTCCAGGGAAGCTATAAGCAGTGAGCTGTACCAGCCCAAGAAAGAAACTATTTTGGCTGCAACAAGCCAAGTCATAAGAATTGAACCTGCACGAGCCATTTGGAGGCTCCCATCCTGCTACCACATGCCCCAGATGCCGGATACGGAGCTGCAGGATTTAATGTTTGCTTGCTGGGTTTTGGTCTTATGTTGGTCTATTTTCTTCCACTCCTCTATTCCTCCCTTTTGGAATGGAAATAATTAGTCTATGCTACTGTAGCTTGGTAACATGTAACTTAGTTTTTGAATTTTATACAATTTCAGAGCTAAGAGTTTGCCTTGAGTCTCAAAGGACTTGGGACATGGACTTTTAAACAATGAGGGAACAGCTGGGGATTTAGCTCAGTGGTTCTGCTGCCTGCCTAACAATGAGGGAACTGATGAGAAAATGAGGAAGGAATTAGTGTATTTTTGGATATAGGATAGTTGCATTATGTTCACATAACTGTAACTTTGTTATTGACTCTATTTGAGAATTAGGGAGATGTTTGGGTGTCTGGTTGACATGGGTGGACTTATAATGGTTACCTTTGTTGACCTGATTGGCTTGGGATTTGCATAAAGTAGGAAGCTAGGAAAGCACATTTCTAGATACATCTGTGAGGGTCCCAGCGGCACGACCTTTGGGGATATGTGTGGTCCTTTGGAAGCTAATAAAACAGTTTATAAATAACAAATTTATTTCTCACATTTTGAAGGATGGAAAGCCCAAGATTAACATGCCATTACTGTCAGTGGTAGTTTCTATAGGTGTACTCATGAAAAGATTGCCTTCCTTTTTTCAGAGGGCACAAATGCCACACTGGAGGGTTCGCCCTCTGTGACGTCACAACTGCCAAATGTGTTTCCTCAAAATACTATCACGTCATAGGCTAGGGATTCAAAACAGGAATCTTCTGTGAACCAGAATTATAGACCGTAGCACCAGGTTCCCGCAGGAAGGTCTTTCAGCCTAATCCCCAGCAAAGCCTGACTCAAACTAAATGCATATCTCTCAAATTTATTCTTTGACAGAGGGGACCGTGGACATCTCCCTGTTCCAAGTGGCCCACTTTAAAGAGGAGGGGATGCTCCTGGAGAAGCCAGCCAGAGTGGAGCCGCATTACACCGTCCTGGAAAACCCCAACTTCTCCCCCATGGGAGTTCTCCTGAGAATGATCCCTGCTGCCCGGCGCTTCATCCCCATCATGTCTACCACGCTGCTCTACCATCACCTCCATGCTGAGGAAGTCACCTTCCACCTCTACCTGATCCCCAGTGACTGCACCATTCGGAAGGTAGCCCTCAAAACCAAAACGGCCAGGCCAGGGTGGATTCATGGTAAATGAGAAATGTAGGTGGACCCTCAACTGGGACTAAAGACAGGACTCTTACAAGTGGGAACTTCAATGTGGGTGGTTAAATAATACTGCCCGCTGCTCAGCAGCAGACTGATTTTCTGGTACCCCAAATTTTTCCTAGCTGTTTTTGCTGCTATATCACCAAGGTCTAGACAAACTGTTGTAGTCTCTTTCCAGAATTCAAAAGATGGGAAAGCTGCATGCCCAAATCGCACCCATTCTTTTCTAGCAGTGATCCTATTCTCACTCTTGACATAGTAGAGGCCAAGCATGAGCTCTTGCTGTGGCAGAACGTGGGAGAGAGGGATGCAGAGGCCGTGTAGCCTGCTTACATACACACTGTCCTGAGGATACACCAAAGCACCATCTCCCCTTACTCAGCCCACTTTCTGAAGAGCAGCATCTCCCTTACACATGTTCTGTATGTTCCTTAGGCCATAGATGATGAAGAAAAGAAGTTCAAGTTTGTGCAGATACATAAGCCACCCCCAATGGACACCCTTTACATAGGCACCCGCTACACTGTGTCTGGTTCAAGGAAGCTGGAAATCATTCCAAAGGTGAACAGCCCAGATGTTTGTCCCCACCTCAAGAGCAGAAGATCTGCTTGGGAAAAATTTCTCAGGGCTTTCTCAGGAATGGGTGAACTGGCTACAGTAGGGCAGAAAATGAGTGGGATTTGGGGTGAGTAGGAAAGCTCCAAAGAGTAGAAGAGGGATGCTTCAAAGATTCCAGGTAAGAAAAGGAGACAGTGATTCACATTTTTAGGATGGGGAGGATGACGCTGTTTGACTGGGGGGCAGAGTCAAGCATTTGAGCTACTGGGTGTCGATGATTTCCAGTCAAAGCCTACCAGGAACACAACTGTCATCAAACACACTGTGTTTTTTACTCACTTCAGCACAACATGGAGAAACTTGTAGTATCTCAGTAACAGGGTGTTAGACAAAAACTACTGAAGGACTTGAGCCTTTGCTGGATAATTTTGGTGAAAGTCTAAGGAAACAGATTTGCTTTAGGTTGGGTGTTGTCAGAAAGTAGGGATATTGGGAAACTTCACAATCTCAAGGGCGGGCATGTGAAAGCAAACATAAAGTTGTATCGCTAAACATACACAGTGACTCACTTACTATGCAGAAGTGGTGGGGTGTTTAGCGTTTTGTGGCCTGCCTGGTAACCTATCTAAAGTTCATGTCCTGTGTATGTTCAACAAGAGGCAACCTGGTTTAGCTGCAACCTCTTATCAGCTTGTAATGACACTGAGCTCTACCTATAAGCCTCGGTCAGTTCCTAGCCACTGGGGGCTACTTTTTGTTCTTTCTTAATATCCACCCTCCCCAGTTTTAGCCAAAGGCAGGTGAGCTTGAGCCACTGAGAATTAATACGTGGTAGCAAATTTTCAATATACCCAGATTTGCTGCTTAGGCAGATCCAAGAAGCACCCACTTCATGGCAGTCTATAGTTGATCTAGGGTTGATGAATGTGAGATGAGCGATGCAGCCATCTGACAGATGGTTGCACAGCAGCATTTAATGCACAGCACAGGACATGTCAAATAGTGGTAACAGAAGCAGTTAACAAAACCAAGAAAATTATCAGTCTTTGTAACAGGTCTCAAAACCAGGACCTAGATAATGAAACCCAGAATCCACAGGGGCCTATTGAAGAAAGCCCAAAAGTCTTCTCTTTTCCTTTCCTTAGTTACAAATTGTCCCATTTCTAACATGTATAAGTAATCATGAGAAGCCAGGCATGGTAGTGCATGCCTGTAATGCCAGCAATTGGGAGGCTGAGGCAGGAGGATCACTGTGAGTTCCAGACCAGCCTGGGCTACATAGTGAGTTCCACATCAGTCTCAACTACATAGTGAGACCCTGTCTCAAAAAACAAAACAAAACAAAACAAAAAAATAAGAAAGAAAAAAAAATCACGAGTGCCTGGGTGGGATTTAGTTTAGTGGCACTGCACCTGCCTCACAAGCACAAGGTCCTGAGTTCAATGCCCAGTACTCAAAAAAAAAAATCACAAAGTATTTACTATAGTGAAAATTTCCCCACATCTAGGTCTTAGATTTTCATCTGCAAGATACTATGTAGGATAACAGATCCAACAGTCAGTTGACTTCAGAGCAGTAGCTACAGAAAATGGACATGAGAGTTTTTCATTAAATTGTAGAAGAAAAACATCAAGAATCCGAGACAATGGAATGAAGGTAAAAGAGAGAAAATTAGTGCTATACAAAGTGTCAAAATGGAATGATATAAAAGGTTAGTAGTAGAATGAAGACAGAAAAAAATGTTGAAGAAATCAAAAAATTCATGCTATTTTGACATCTCCAGCAGAAGTTGCACACTTGTAAAGACAGCAACTTCTGAAGGATTCCTGATAATTTTATTTAGTGTTTCCAGATGGAACCAAGATCCAGTAGTTTGATAGAAGGTATAGTGATGTTTCAAGTCAGGAAACGGGAACCTGAGGATGATTATTTTGGAGTTTTCCTGCATCGTTAATTTTTACTGAGAGATTATAGAGAGACATAATTTGATTATGCAACAAACATTAATCCACACTAGGTACATGCTTCAGTAAAAGTAGTTCAGTAGACCTAACAGAAAAATCTCTACTCTTGGAAAAGTTACATCCTGGCAGATAGAACCTGCATAAATAACTGGAGGCATAATGACAGTAACACTAATTGCTGTAAAACAAAGAGAGCAGAGCCAGTTGTGGTGGTACACACTTGTAATCTCAGCACTCAGAAGGCTGAGGCAGGAGGATCACTGAGAGTTCGAGGCCAGCCTGGGCTATATAACTGAGTTCTAGGCAAGCCTGACTTATAGAGTGAGACCCTGTCTCAAATAAATAAATAAATAAAGCAATGTGAGAGCGTCTTGGGCTTGGTCTTCTTCAGACTTAGAGGCCAGTCAAGGCAGTTTTGAGAAGATATCACTTGACTTAAACCTCGGTGACAGGAAGGATTCAGCATATGAGGATTTGTTGCTGTTTCAGACATGAATGGAAGAAAACCAATAGAAATGAATTTTTCTAAGTGGAGAAGGGAAGAAGGGTTGAAGGGAAAGGAGAGGAATGGGGAAAAATTAAGATAGATTATGTACAGCTACAAATCGCCTATGATGAATGTGATCATTATGTGTGTCAAAAGTGTACCACTAAATTAATTTTAGAAAAGAATGTGTGCGCGGGCACAGAGGCAGGGCCAACTTGTCACCCCCCACGTAACAACAAGTTGGCCAGTATGGCAAAGTGTAGTGCCTGCAGCAAAAGATGGGGTCAGGGACCCGGGATTTAGCTCAGTGCACGGTGCCTGCCTTGCAAGCACAAAGTCTTGAGTTCATTCCTTGGTACTGAAAAAAAAAAAAAAAAAAGAGATGGGCTCAGACCCAAGGCAGAATTTTCCCAGGGCTCATTGGCCCTGTCCTTGATGTAGAGTTTGGAATTTGTTCTAAGTACAATGGCAAAGCCTTGGAAAGTCTGAAATACAGCGATACAAGATCTGATTTGCTTTCAGAAAGACACCCCCGAATATCCAAAGAGAAGGGATGATAAGCAAACAAGAGTAAAAGGGGGGACAACTCAAAACACTGCAGGTGAGAGCCATGGTGGCTTCACTAGGACAGTAGCAATGGAGATAGAGAAAAGCTGACAAATTCCAGACAACTGAAACACAGGCAGTTACCAAAACCAAAAGATAATTAGCCTTGGCAACAGAGCTCAAAAACTATAGGGTAGAGGCAACGGGACTCAGTGGATTGGCAGTGTCTGGGGAGACGAAGGATGGGGTCTAAATTTGAAACCTGAGTGCTCAGCAGAGGGTAGTGCCAGTTACTTAGTTGGAGAAAACTGGGGAGAAGCATGTTCAAAAGACGATTGGGAACTCAGAGTTCTGTCTTGGATTTGATATAGGAAAGGGAATAGATGTAAATTTTCTATTACAAGTGGGTCGAATTTATGATACATTAGGAAGACAGGCTCTGGGATCTAAAATAAGAGTTTGAGTTCAAGAAGGAAGACAATGAAGGAGAACGGAGCTGGTTCAAAACAGAAGAAAGCTCTGGTTTAGGATGTGTGAATACTACTTACGGTGAGCCTTGACTCAGCCTTGAGAGTTAAGATTAATGGTCTGAAGCTGGCAACTAATTTCGCTATAAGAGATAAGCAGAGAGCACGGCCAAGAAGGTATAAAGTGGGTACACACCTCACTTAACTATGATTAGTGGCTTTTCGCACATGGTAACACTTTTTCTCTCGATGAACTGGAGCTCTGCTGTCAGAGCCCCATAGAACCATTCCTGTGGTATGCACTGTGTCCTCATCTGTCTGAAAAAGAATGTAAGGTCTAAAGGGGGTGACTGATTTCTGTACCTGAGATAATCACTGTTTCCATGATGGTGAGCAAGACCAAGAAGGTGTAAGGAAGGGAAAGACTTCACTTGCTGTATAAAACAATGGCTTCTCACCTGATGACTCTTTCTCTCTCTAGGAACTGGAGCTCTGCTATCGGAGCCCCTGCGAACCCCAGCTCTTCTCTGAGATCTACGTTGCCAACTTTGGGTCAGGGATCCAGCTGCAAATAAGAAGCAAGAAAGATGAAACATTAATATGGGAGGCCTTGTTGAAACCAGGTAAAACCCAAACAAGTCAGCTCAGAAGTGAAAGTTCAATTGTGTTTCTATGTGTGTTTTTAGTTGTTTCAATGGGTATTATAGTGATTTATTAGTGAGAAGAAACAGTCCAGAGAAATTATGTGACTTTTTCAAGTCACTTGATGGCTGACATGAATAGAATTTAAATTCATTTTCTCTCCTGTGAGCCCTGGTATCTCTACACTTCTATTGAATTAAGAGGTTCTGGAATCTACCAGGTCTTTAGTACAGTGTCTCATTATGATTTCGCTGTGAAATGAAAGAGTAAGCAGAGGTGGGCATGGTGGTACACTCCTGTAATCCCAGCCAGTCTGGGGAGGCTGAGGCAGAAGGATTGTGTCAAGTTCAAGGCCAGCCTGGGCTACATAGCAAGACTGTCTAAAAAAAAAAAAAAAAAAAAAAAAAAAAAAGAAAAAAGTATAGGG